AAGCCAACATTCAAATATTCACGCGCTCTCCAAGTGGCGTGACGCCACATATTGTACACTTTGCTAGTCGAACAGGTAACTAGAAACAGTATTTTGAGCGTTCTAATGCGTAACTTTTTTGTTTAACGCTACCCCCAATTTTAAGAGCTTGTCCTTCCGTCCGGTCGTGAATTTTCCGCTAAATTTAGCGGGGAAAGTGTTGTCGCCTACCGTCACCTGACGTCACGTGACCTATGCAGCCGGGAAAACTGACGGCACAAAACCAATATGTCACAACACAACTTCCCCCGATGCATTTAGCAGGAAAATTGACGTCCTGTGGCCAAAACATATATCCAGTTTTTAAGCAAATTTAGCCGAAAATTAACGTCAAGTGACCTCTACGCCAGAGAAGAGAAGAGAGGGGTTAACGCGGAGGCTTAGGTAGACTCGCCTCAACGATTCACGTGTTAACGTTTAGCCGGCTTCCAAACTTGCTTATGCTATATTGGATAGGCGACTCTTAGAGTCGGCGACATGAAAGCACGCCTCAGGGCGACATGCCCTGAGGCCTGCTTTCACAAACTCCTCCTATCTGTTCCCCCGTAGGCCAGAGGATTCGTGACGCCGATGAAAGCCCGCCAACTAGATTGGCGGAGTAGACCCCGTTGTCCTATTCCACCAGCTCTCCGAATACGCTTCCCGGCAACTTGGGCGAAAACCCGCAGGTGGTCCAGCTGTCCGACCTGAGTCCCGGCACGTGGCACGACCTGCTGGCCATCGCGCACAACGACGCCGGCCACACAGAGGCCGACTACCAGTTCGCCACGCTCACACTGCGCGGCGCCACAGTACCTCCGCCGTCAGCCGGGAGCACGAGGCAGGCGTCTATGTTCGAGGACCCGGCCCTGCTGGTGCCTGTGCTGTGCGCCGCCGTCGTGCTCGTGGTCGTCGTTGCCGTCACCTCGGTCGTGGTCGTCTGGAGGCGTCGTGGCGATTCTCCCGCGGACGCCTCCTCGGACAACTGCGACATGTGTACCGACTCTTTGCTTGCTCCTCGCGTGCCGTCGCGGCAGTCCGAAGGGCGCTCGAAAAGAGTCTCACCTACATAGCCACTGAGATATTAAGAATGCCAGGCAATAGACCGATCTCACCAAGCGTTCCACGCATGCGTGAAGCTGCCATAACTGTAGTTCATAGGAGGCACATTCCAGTTCACGAGAGAGCTCATGCCGCCTCGCGCTCTGCTCGCGCAATCCTCCAGCAGGGTTGTCGCGCGTGGAGAAAGACTACAGCTCCACGATGCATGGCGGCAGCGGTGGCGTTCTCAAACTACCTGGTGAGATCGGTCTATTGACTAAGATATATTAGTTACTTAGCTTACTGACGGAGCCCCATAGGCATCAAGGAAAGACGGTGTCCATGTAGGGGTCATGCCCATTCTTTAAATTTATGTTCGTTTTAAAAACAAACACACCCAATAGACGATTGTAAGCAACATCTGGCCGCCGCCACGTCTCTGCACGTGAGGGCAAGCACATGCTATTGCAAGGCTGTCAAGGCCCCCTTCACGCGCACGCTTCGCGTGCTGGTGCTCATGTGGCATCAGTCAGGGCGGAAAGCTTGCAACTGTCTATAGACCATTGCAAGCATAGCGCCACAAGTGGTGCCCCATGCGTGCAAGCGCGTGCAACGCGCGGGTGAACGAAGCCTTGGCAAGCTCGTAATCGCACGGGCGTGCCTGCTCGAGCAGAGACATGGCGGCGGCTAGTCGCCCAGCTTGCAATCGTCTATAGATCTTTCCAAAAAAAGATCTCCTGACCTGTTCTATTTCCAGTGATTGTGCGCATGGCGCGTGATGTGCTCTCCTTCTGAAGCGACGAACATGCGCGCGCTGGGCTGAGGAGTTCATACGCGGGGCTGAGGACTTGTAATTATTGCAATGGTGTTTATCAGGGTCTCAAACATGCGGCCCGCGGGCCGCATGAAGCCTCGACACTCTGGGACGCGGCCCGCAAACATCCTGCGGCTGCGAGGCCCCGTTTCCATGCCTCGAGCGCTACATGCGCCATAAATAAAAGTTTCATATCGTCGATTCATTTCAGCTAGACAAAAAGCTCCGCTCATATAACTTGTTCATAAATTTTGCACTATTGAGTTTTATCTTGAGCTAAGTTTTGCTTCGTCTAACTATTTGCTTCTCAGCCCTTTGTTCTGTAAATCAACCGAAACGGCAATACCAATACTTGATTACAAGAGTGAGCCCTTTGCTTAAAACGGCATCTCGGCTGAACGGCCGTCAGAAAAAACCTTTAAAATACAGGCATTCTCTAATAATGCTGTTATAAAAATCGCCAGGAAAGCAGGAACTGCCGTATGAAGAGATATTTTCAGCGCTTGTTGAGTTATTCTGTGGGGCAGGGCAAGGACGGTGTGCTTGCTTTCGTTCTATCGAAAACTCTCAGTACGTTGGTGTTTTAAATCTTATAACATCAGCGTGGGCCCGAACTAGTCGTATATGCAAATGAAAGGTAAAGATGGCAAAACGGCAAGCTTACAAAAACCAGAAAGCACGAGGCTTCTGTACAATATCACTAGGGTGTCGGTGAGACAATCGGCTGCTCAGCAACGCAAAACACCACTCCTGCTTGCTTGTATTTTTTTTTTGTTTGTTTCCTCTTTCCGCCAAAACAACAAAATATTGCACCCCCCCCCCCCCCCCCCAGTTGGCCCTCAACCTTCCGGGGGTGGGCTATCTGGCCTTTACACTCGAATGAGTTTGCGATCGCTGTCTAGTCTGAAGATTCTTCTCACGTATATAAAGGTTTCCGCCTTCATTGTGTCGCTCATGGCGCGGTGTGATCCTGATCTGTGCCTACTTGCCTTCTCTTCCAGATTCCAGGGCTTCGCCCGGCAAAGTGGACGACATCTGTCTGAGCACGTACGGCAAGGCCAAGGGCGACGGCATGTACGACTCGCAGCGGGCGTCCCTCTACTACCCGTCGCCGTACGCAACCAGCCATGTGGCTTTCTACGGTGGCACAGGACGCTCTGGACAAGAAGAGCTGTCGGGAACCCTGCAGAGGGCGTCGAGGGGCCACGCCAAGGAGCACACCTACGACGTCCCACATCGACTCAAGGTGGGGCGATGCTTGGTTATGGTTCCTGAGGTCGCCGCTATTGAATACGCCTTGATAATCTTCCTCCACCAGCTGTCATTCTAGCTTCAAAAACGAGAGTCACACTGCTCATGCGTCAGACAAAAGACAGTCTGCATACAAATTCGAACGCGACTCACCGCGATATCCGTGCTTCGAATGCAAATTGGAAATGAGTTCAAGGAGAACCTTTGTCACGCGGCATTCGAACTACGGATATTGCAGTGAATGATGCTTGCAGACTGCTTTTTTCTTTAATGTATGAGTAGTGTGACCTCGACTTAAGGGACCGCGTGAACATGAACACAGGCACTGCTGTATTTTCTTCGCACAAGGATGAGGTGCTGGGGTCTGGTACGACAAACTACTCTCACGTGATGCTCTCGTAGCCGGTCACTGACACACCGACCCATTTGAGCAGTGTATTCGGCCCTACGAAAATGAGATTCAATAAGCCCTTGCCGTCTAGCACCCGATGGCCTACTTGGCTTGGCTCTGCGGATAGCAGTAATAGAGTATTCTCGACACACTGCAGTGTGGCTTTAAAGGCCGGTTCAGGTACTTGCGTTTGAGTGCGTTTGATTGCGTGGCGTCGAGAACCGAAAGTGAATCACCGGTAGATCTGTGCTTCATATAAAGCGTGGAATCCATTTCAAGGAATCATTTTGGCACGCGATATAAGCAGCAGGGATGTCCTGGTAACTCGCAGCCGCAACGCAGTCAAACGCAACTGTCCGAACAAGGCTTAATAGTGTTTAAACGCATGTCTTAGCCGCTGTTGATATACCTGCCCTCGTGGAAGTGACTGCAGATCAAACGGTGATATACTTGACAACAAAATAAATCTGCCAGACTAGACGAGCGTAAAAGTTACGGAATCGTTTATATCATGAGTTTTTTGTTTTTCTCTTTCTTTCTTTAGCAGGACGGCACGGATGATTCAAGCGAGCGCTACTCCCAGTTATGGACGAGCTCGAGGCATCCTTCGCTAACGGGAGGTCCAGACGAAGAATCCGAGGGTAGCGTTTCGTTTCCGCCTTTGATATCTCACTAGCTTGGCGGTCGAAGCGGTCAGCCGCCGTGTATTATACCAGCTGTTCTACATTGCGGAGCGCCGTCGCCTCATGTTTTCACTCTAACCACCCAAATATTTGTTCAGATGCCACAACTCCCGTGCAGTATAGGGAGGACACCTACTCGAGGTAAGTGCAGAGTTACTCCATTCCCGCTCGTCATTGCACGCAATACCCGATCTAGTCGAATAACTTGCACGAGGTTGTTTCAAGTTACCGGGAGCAAGGCCAGCCCGTCTATACGTTTTCTTGGAGAACGGGTAACCAGTAGTTGTAATTAAACTTTACGAGTGTCAAAAATGACGAGGTCCGCAATGCGTGCGTTAAACAAATTGTCATTAGCTTTGCGTTCTGCTGATGTCAAACATCGTGGTCCGTGCTAAAGCCCAGAGCTGATTTCCGTGTGAAGCTGGGGTGGGATTCCAGCCTCAAAATACTCCGTTAACATGAAGTTGGACCGCAGCCAAGGCTACGATCCAGTTAAGACAACCACGCAGCGCCGCAAAAAAAAAAAAAAAAAAAGTCACAACGCTATGGTCACCTTCATTCGTTATCTATCACCGTTTAAACCAATCACTCATAGGAAAGAAAGGCAAAATCACGCCTCATTCACTGGCCTTGCGATTTTGTTTATGCCTGTTTCTCGAAAAATGTAGACGCGCGGGACGTGCTTATATACATCCCCCAGACTAATAAGGTGCGGACGTTATGAGGGCGTCCGACTCGATGAGTGAGTAAACTTGCAAACGTTCGGCGTCTCGTGTGAACTTGCTTTTTTTCCAGTGAAAAGGTTTCCTCAAGGTTTAAAGAGAGCACTTCCCTAAAAGTTCCTTACGATGACTGTGCGGAACCGGCGGAGTTGTCTGAAGCCGAGTGTGACCGAGACCACAATCTGTACCCGTACACCGGTATGACGTTCTTGTGATTGATTGGCGTTTGTCCCCAGTTCTCAACACAGAAGGATGGCAAAACGTGCTAAGGGTTTGTGGCGACTGAGTTCCCCGGTAGATTAGACGTACCGGCGGCAACCTGCTAAAAATACCTCAGCAGTCAAAAATGGGCTCTTTAGTTTTCTTTTTTTATATCCGCATCTTATTTTGTCATGTTATAATGATATATTTGAGTATGAATAATTTTTCCGAATTATTTCTGTATACAAATCTAGCAGATAAATACCACATGTATTTGGCCATGGGACCAGGCGTACTTGTGAGACACATTTCTACAGAAGGCGGAATAAACTATCGAAATCGAAATAATGGTACTACTACAATTGATCCACGATTGATCCACGACAACCCATCAAACAGCTGAACAATAATATAAATAATAGTAAACACACTCAAACAAACAAAATCGCTTTTTGAATATGAGCTGAACAGAAATGACAAAGCCGTCCTACTGGTTTCATCGAAGACGCTTATTGGCTGGAGGAGCTCATGTACGGGTTTTAGTGCTTTTTACTTGGGAACTTACGTTATCATTTTGTTCATGCTTTACGGTTATAAAATTATTCTCCGAGTGCGAAATCTCATTTCTTCAGATTTGAACTACAAAGCGAAGTTGCCGCGTAAGCATAATGGCTGACGTGCGCTTTGCCATCCCTCTGCTAAAATGCATGTGCCGCAGGCTTGTATGTGTTACTTCTCATGTGAGCATTGAGAACAACAGCGAAAGGCCCCGTCTCTGATTCCTGGAGCGGTCTAACGGATAAAACTATGCCAATTGTACTAACACACACCACCCTGACCCGACTACATACGTTCTCAGGCAATCCGGTCAAGTGTACGTTTTTCATTCCAGGATTCTCGGTTTGTATAAATAGTGTTTGAGCCGTGAGCATAGTCACACTTATCTAACAAGACTGTTGGTTGAGGAGGCCTATACGGCAAGCAAGACGGACAAAACGCGTCTCTTCGTGCATGAAACAAGGAGGCGCAAAAATGGTGAGACTGGAGCTATCAGGTGTGCGATGAAGCTTCTCCCCAGCAGGCGCCACTCCCTTTGGTTAGTTAGCAAACAACAACTCGGCTGTAAGTTTATAGTTCCTTGTTGCTTCTCTGATTGTGTCCAGTGGATAAAACAACCTACCCATTGCAAGGGCTCGCAGACGACGCCAGATCAGCGAGATTCGGAGTTCTGACGCCACAGCACCGTCTGTGCAAGGAGCTGACCAACGTTCGCCTTTGTGTCTGTCCACTATATCCTCCAATCAGCACTCGTGGCCATGACGTCACTCTACTCTCTGCGAAAGGAGCAGAGGGGCATGTCGCCGTGTTGGGAACCTGCCCTTGGTCGCCTGCTGAACCGCCCTCCGCCGTCTCTGGTTGTGACTTGGCACATCAGTGCGATCGCTGTGGTCTTTGTAACAGACGCTCATCCTGCTGTAATGCGCTGCATTTTGTCTAGGGTAACTGACAGGATGAGATCGGCGGGGCGTTTCTTTCAACTGTCCTTCCTCCACCACGCGCTCGTTCTCTTCCGCCGTGCCATAGCCTCCTATATACTGGTAAAGCCTGGCAGATCGCCACGAGAAGCGGCCGCTGAAATGGGAAAGGTGGAGCGGCAGACAACAGATGAGAGGAGAGCCACGTGACTGACGCCCCGCTGCGGCGATAAGCCGAAACACACTTCTCCCGAGAGAACAAGTGTGTGTTCGGGTCCTCACCTCTGCAAACGCTGTGCGCCAGGTTCCCCGAGAAATGACTCTTTGATGCTCTGTGATACCAGACCCTCGCGCTCTAAATCTGAGACCATGGCACTCTAGGGCTCGGCCGTCTAAATGTCAGGCAGGCTTTGTGAGTATAGTGGAGGCCATGGCTTGAGTTGCCGCAGCCGAAAGACTTCTCAGTCGCTCACATCTTGTCATTGACAACAAAAGGGCTGTTCAGTTCTAACTTCCCATTGAAGATGTTTTTCGGACCTTCTGCCAGCTGTCCCGTTGTGTGCGCATTACGTACTGAGAACTTTGAGTTTGGTGACTCAGCACCCGCAAAGCAGGATTTTGCAGGCTGCGCAATTTCAGCACTTCTCGATATTCGAGCAGAACGCAAGGATAAAAAGTTATTTTTTCTACCTTCCAGCCAAAAACTACGGGCTCCAGAACTTTAGCGTGGACACCATCTATCAATGGCCACTCCAGGGCTAGCCTACGAAGAAACCTAAACAAGGTAAGGTCTGTACTAGCATCAAGTCTTAACCAAACAATGCATTGTGTTTGAATGTTTAAGACTGTAAACTTCTCCAGTGATTTATTCACATTTTTTTCTACGTCTTGAATTTTACCCTATGAGAACCTATCCTTGTACTTATATTGGCATTGAACGGTATTCTCATCAACATTGGTGGCGATGACACCGGACATAAAGCTTGCAAGAGGACTTGTGACTGTGTATTGCGCGCCTGCACGTAGTGGGCAGGGTTAAAAGGTGCAAATGAAAGAGAATAAAGATATGTCTACACAGGTTTACGATGTGGAGCCTGGAGTTCGACTTCGACCAAACTTGTCGGAAGACAAATGTCAAACTTTATTTGATGTGCCTGTCAGTAATCTGACATCTTGAGTACGTTGAAAGTTCATATAACAAAACAAGTTTATTTCCTAAGGCCCATATTGGGAAATGCTCTAAATCAGTCCTTTAGCAGTTCCGCTAGTTAAAGGTATTTCCCACTCACTTTAGAAGAGCTATGCTTATATTCCTCGAGGACTTAATTTCTTTCATGAAAACAGGCCGATACAATATCACTTCTTTTTATATATTATATGCGTCACTGTACGAGACTTTTCCAGTCTGCGAAGTTCACAAAAAGTTGGTGTTCATGGAAACCAAAAAGTGAGCAGTTAACTTCCGAGTTCATTCGTTCTTTACGATTCAGCATATTGTTAATCAGGCTTACTGACTTGCTTCTTTACTATGCATTCATGCATTAGCCTCTTCGCTGGTTTATTTTTCTGGAAACTAGTGTCATTGGGTAGAGCCGATGATAATGGTCATCTTCCTTGTGAATCAATTCAGTTGTTTGTTCGCCGAACCTGGCCGAAATTTATGATAAACGTAAGCAGACGCCTAAGGGTACTTGTAAAACAAAACAAAAAAACCAAAAAAACCTAGACTTGCATTGCTTCTCAAAGTCGCCCAGCACCCGTTGTTTTGGTTGTGTGCTGTAAGGTACACACTTCAATCAAAAAACAAAGCAAAAACAACACAAAGAAGCCTCATAGCCATGTGCGCGGCGAGTGGGTCAGCACTTTATATCTGTCGGTAGGGGAACTACTGAGATGAAAATGTGCCTTTGCTATGATGCGAAGATCTATAAGCTGCGTTTGATTGACTTGAAATATAATGGACCAAGTGCGTTGTGTTACGCTGTTGCCATTTTATAACGTTCTGCGGCCTCACTCTGTTCATTTCAGAGCTCTGTGGATGAAGATCGAAGCTTCGTCGGACATGAACGCCACGTAACGAAACAATGGCCACGTGCGTCTGAACGGAGTAAACGGTCCAGCTCCCACAATACAGACACCGACCACGTAAACTTTCAGCATGAAACTGAACATAATAGCGGCAGCAACTGCTTCCACCAGTTGGAACTGAGGAACCAAAGCAGCACTCACTGCTCCCCGGATGTGCACTTGCCGAAACCTAGACACTCACCCATGGTGCCGTTCTCCAGTGTAGAGGCTGCTCTTTGGCCACTGAAAGTGCTGTGTTTCGTCCGGTGACACTGAACCTATCGAGCCAGTGTTCGGCTCCACCGTCATGAAGATATGTCTTCCATTATTCAGGGGAGCAACGTCTCCCCGCCTTGTTTCCGTTGCCTTTGTTGTTGTTTCTTGAGCGATAGATCTTACCATGCCGGCGTACGGCTACCTGGACAAGACACCGCTGCAGTTGCCAGACTGCTCAGTGTAAAGATTTATTCTGCAGCGACCAGCAATCGGTGAGAAATGACTCAAAGCCGTTTCTAGGATCGACCCATCCTCAGAATATAAGTACGCACCCAAGAATAATTATTTTTATATCAAACCCTCTGTCACTGTTACGAGCCCTAGCTCCTGGAAACCTCAAGCTGTTAGTCGGACCCACTGGCGCGACCTTCTGCGAGGATGCTGCGTCAAAAACTGTCCGGCTGTTTCTGAGCTTTATTTTGAAATCCCTTGCGGTGAACTCGTGTGCGCGACTTGATGGTGACATGATGAAGCCCGGGCGAACCGTGCTGGCGCCACGAACATTTTCGGTGTTACGTTTCTTCTCGTTGTCTGGACAAACGTTACGCGTGGTTCTGCATGAGGAATAAGGTGCATTGTACTGTCTCCATTGACTGGAAGTGCCTTATTTCTTTGTGCGCCATTTGTCCAACGTTGCCCGTCGAATCAAAAATCGCCGACAGGTAAGTTGGTTTCCTGAGCTACTGGAGACTTTTCACAGCCCACCGTGCGTAAATCAAGAGTGGCGGGAGCGCTCTCTGCGTTTTGGCGAAGTACCATTCGCCAAAAGTACTAACACGTGAAATTATATCTTTACAAAGCCCGTTTCTGCGAACCGGAGAACGGGCATCCATACCGATGAAGGAGACCTAACCAAGTGATGGTGGTTTGATGGGTTGAAGCTGGTTCTATAGAGGACTGTTAAAGAATGTTCGCTCCGAATAATAAAACTATACGCCGATTTCACCGTTTTCTTTCCGCGTGCCTGGTGTCCTACTATTATAGCGCATACCTCGGCCAAGCTCACACATGGAACAAAGGTGCACTCACTCAACTCAATCATCCCCCGCTTGGATAAGAATCCGCAAGGTTAGAATGAGTAGGTTTCCAAGCCCCCAACACTTATAAGCTTGCAACGTTCAGTAAGGTGCGTGTGTTCAGAATGGGCCTTTTCTTTGGTGAGCGGCATAAGTTCAGTTTGGGAACTGAGTAAGCGGGTGCCCTTCCAGGGAACACAGTTTTTTGGGCCTTGAAAAGCCGGAAGTAGTCAAGATAGAACCAATCTTGACCTTCTTTGGCCGATCTGGGTATCTTGGCCCTAAATCACTAAATCTTAAGGTTATGCTTCACTGCCTAATAGTTTGGTTGTCATCTGGCATCTTTGGGCCCAAATCGCCAAACAAGTGCCCGAGTGAGGCTTCACTGCTGAATGTTAGGTCTGCACGTAGCCTTTTTGGGTTCATTTTCGGTACTTCAGCAGTATTGTGGCAGACCAGAGGGAAGTGATAAAAATTCCTAAAGAAAAGTGCTTTGTCAAAAACAATCACCTTGGAGAAAGACCGTATTAGGCTCAAGTAAGGTGCTTAGGAGTGCCTAACTTGGGTCACGTTAGGTGCTTGTCTGGCGTGCCGCCTGGGCTGTTTTCAGTTAGGGATGTGTGCTCAGTGAATGGTCTAAGTTGAGTAAGGGGTTCGATTGTCGGAGCTCGACTTAGTGAGGTTAATGAGTTCGAATATTAAACTGAGTTTAGAGTCGGACAAACTTTTGGGCAAATCATGTTTCTTCTCGAGACATTTCGGGGCCAAGTTGAGTGGACGCTTGCCCAGAGTAGAGCTGCTTCTCGTTTAATCTGCTTTGCACGGGAGAGTAAAAATAATGATGATCAGGCTTGTTTCGCAATGACGGGGCACCGGTATTGAAAAAGCCATACAGCCATTATGTGTGGTCATTTTGCGAAAAAAGGTCCACTTCAGACATATTGCAGACATTTAATACACTTCATTTTGTTTTAGTTTTGCATTATAATGTCCACACTCAAAATCTGCTCAAAACTAAGTGGAAATGTATCGGATATTAATGTCGGAATAGACTAGAAATGAATTGCATGTAGATAAAAGTTTGACTAAAATTAATCAAAATTGATTAAAAACACTCTAAATAAATTAGAAATATTTCAAAAACAAACATAATTAAATTCGAAATGAATTTGAAATATAAAAAAGCGAATTATATTTGGATCTTAATAAAATGCAGAAGGGTATGCATTTCAGTAGTACACTACATAGCAAAATGTTGATAAACTAAAACATTTCGGGACAGCTAAACAAACCAGATAATATTTATTCAACGCAATTCATTTCATGATATCATTACTGTATTGTTTCGAAATATTTCTACAGTTTTCTAGCTTTTAACGTCTCAATTATTTTAAGCGAGTTATTCCTGCTAACTTTCATTTCATGTATTCTACATTTTGATTCCGTACACCTGAGGCGCTGTTGGCGTGATGTTCTTTCTTCACTCGAGATGACCGCACACCATGTTGTTTACTGCTCCGAGAAAGTTCGCACAAAACAAACTGCTACAATGAAGAAAAAAAGGAAAATGACGCAGTATTAAGAGAAGGTTCCTAATTATTTCAGAAAATACTTAGTTGTATCATTGACACAATTAGTTCTTCATAATTTAAAAAAATATGAGTTCTAAATAGCGCTGTTGTCAATTGTAACTTGAAAGGTCACAATGAGAAAGGTTTTTATTTGAATAGGCCATATGCGAAATGCACAGCGCCATCTAGGGGGGGGGGGGGGGGGGGGGAGGGGGCCGCCGAAGAACATGCTCTGTCTGGCTTCGGCGCTGGTAAAGTCTGCAGGGTGCGAAAGCGTAGTTCTGATGAATCCTTCTCTCGCAGAACCATTAACGTGGAAATGCGCTCTTAGGGCTAGTGTATTCGACGGTCTGGTAACTACTACGGGACAACATTCCTCGTTTTCAGTGATTTATAAAATTGACTTGATAAAGGCTTTTGCTCCTTACTTTCTCAGATATTTCCATTGCCAAAACATAGTCCAGACATAATCCTTTCTTCTCGCGTATTTCTTGACCACTTCATATTCATTATAATTCCAGAATGCCTTGGATTTCAATAAAAAAATCATTGATTTTTTCTTTCCTAGTTATACTTCCTTCGTGATCCTATACATATATTATTCACTCATTGAGCCATACCTCCAGATATTGGTAGGCGTTCCACGAAATTACGGCAAATTGAATCTTGCGAAAACGACGTATCGCACAAAAAAAAAGTGAATTTCTCAGTTTTTGCACAGAGGCATATATATAAAAATTAATGAAGTAGGAAAACGGAAGTTTAAATATTATTCGAGTAATTAACCTTAATTATTAATTTGAGAGCGGTTTCAGTTAGAAACGCGCTAGGCATTATCAAAAAACACTAAATCAACCAATTCCATAAAGATGTAAAGTTGGTGCATGATTTCACGACGTTCCAAAGAAACAGCAAATTTGAATGCATTACCGAGTTTTTGGTTTCATCTCGAAGCGCATTTGTTGCTGCGCACGTTCCCGCTCCTTATGGCGAATGAGCGCAACCAAACGCTGGCGACTCGCCCGCCTTGCCTCTTTTGAAAGAATGGGGTGTGAACCCGGCGAAGTAAATCTTTGTTCCTTTTGAATGATTGCCATTGGAGAAATACACTTTGATTCTTGGTGTCACCCCCGCCGAGCGGAAGATGATTCGATTGGCGTTTTTGTTTTGATTGTTTTAGCTGGGTAAGAAAGATGGACGTTAGATGTGCGCATGCATCCAGGGAATATTTAAAGGGAAGCTGAAGGGTTTTGTAGTTGAGTAAAACCACTTAAAAGGTCTTCGTTTGGCCTTTAGGATCACGAGTTTAGAGATTATCAATTCGGTGCACGGAGGCTGCAGTAAATAAATTTCAAAGTACCGCCGTAGTCCCTCCTCCCCGGGGCGTTACGTCACGAAAACAGGTTTTCGGAATCTGCCCTCTGGCGCACCTTCAGCTCCTACCAAAGCTATGCACGCGCACTCTCGCTATTTTCATAAAGGTGAAAAAAAAAGAAGACGTCACGACCTGTGTTAGTGCGGGGCTGTAGTGCGGGGGATTATACTTGGCCAGCTCGCAAATGCACAAGCTGCCTCCACGAGCGACACGCGCTTGGCGGTCGAAAGATCATTTTATGATCTAACGACTGTTGGAGGGTTTTCGTCTTGTATCGCGTTTAGGTGCACCTTCGGGTAAAACGAAAGCGATATTAACATTCGTGAGATAAAGAAAACTCGCCGAAGACAATTAGGACAGACCACGTGTAGCCATGCGACAGCATTCCTACACGCAGCGTATCGTCATAAGCAGCGCGCCACGTCTTCCTTTCGCACACTGCGCTCCGGCAGGCGCAGCGAACCCCGCCGGCCTCACGACGGCTTCCCTGACAGAGCACCTGCGTGGTTGTGCTTTTCTTTGTGTTTCGTTTCTGAGGCGCGTGCTTGATGGCGTAGTGTTTTCCCCATCTCTCGGGGACAACGCCGACGGCTTTTCGCGTAATGGGACGATGAAGGCTTCTGACTTAAAAATACTCTAAAATTCTCCTCTAGTAGTAGTACTAGTAAACTTTATTTTGTCCAAGATGGGGTTTAAAGAGGAGGGGAGTAGGAGTGCCCGTCCTCTTCTTCCTCAGGCGGCGGCCAGGCCTTGGGCTTTGGCGGCGTCTTCAGCCATCTGGACGACCCGAAGTTGGAGATCCGGGTCTGAGCTAAGCAGTGCAGTCTCCCACTGCTCTAAGGTGGTAATGGGAAGAGGAGGTAATGAGCTGGTGCGCTTTTGGGTGATTATCAGGGGACACGCCCACATGATGTGGTGAAGATCGGCCCTACCTGCGTATAATTTACAATCTGCTGTATATAGCCCGGGATACAGGTGACTATATGTCACTGGGTTTGGGAATGTGTGCGTTTGTAAAAGGCGCCAAGTAACTGATTGCTTTTTATCTAAATTTTTGTGAGCGGCGGGGTAATGCCCCCTGCCCTGTCTGTAGTATTGCAGGACCTCCTTATAGGACACCATCCGGTCCCTACCTGAACGACGAAGGGATTCGAGCTGCTCATCGTGAGAGGTTAATTCGCATCGCAGATGGAAAAACATCGCAGATGGGTAATTCTCGGGCCGCATTGTGAGCAGCTTCGTTTCCCGGGAGACCGGAGTGCGCCGGTGCCCAAACGAGTTGTGTCCATCTGCGCCGGGTTTCGGATACCTGGACTAAAATTTTGAGGGCTTCGGGCGAAATGCGCCCTTTCGCGAAGTTTCGTATAGCTGACTTTGAGTCGCTGAT